TTCAGTTGATTTAAAATCTTTAATAATTTTTTTCATTTCCGTGACAAAAATATTATCTTCTAGAAGTGAGACATTAAATTTCCAATATCCTGGACCTCGTATATTTAAATCAATGTCAAAAATGACCCTAATACATTTGTGATCTGACATTCTTGTTCCCCCTGAATGTAACCCTGGTATTTCTCGGAGAATTATATTTTTAGCTGGATATATTAAGGATTTTGATATAAGTACGTAGTCGATTCTGCTTGTGGGTATGTTTGCCCCGTTGCACCATGTATATCCTACATCCTGTGGCCTTAAGTCTCGCCACAAGTCTATCAGACTATTATTATTTAAATTTTTTTGAAAATAATTAATACTGGAATCGTCAGTCTTCTCTAGATTACAATTAAAATCTCCTGCTAAAATGATATTGTCAGGATTGTGAGAATATTTAGTTATCCATTTATTAATTTTCAAGAAAAAGGACTTTCTTTCCGCTTGATTGTTTGGTGCATAAATATTTATTATTGTAAGCTTTTTTTCTTCCAAAATTAAATTAATAAAAATCATTCTTCCGTCATAAGACTTGTGAATATCTAATATTTCAAAATCTAAACCTTTTCTAAATAATATCGAAGTTCCTCTGCTATATTGTGAGTCAGAAAAATTATGGATACTAATCCCAAACCATCTTCGCGGGTATGTTAAGGAAGCATATAAGCCAATTCTCTGGAAATTTAGACTTTTTAAAGAAAATTACGTTTGATAATTTACCAAAACCGCTGATAAATGTAAACTATTATTATCTATTGCATAAAGATAAAAGAGTGTCTAACGCAAAGGCGTGCACCACCACCACGGCATCACGTGACTTCTATTAATAGCGAAATTTTCCTTAGTAAAAAAGCTAACAGAACAACAATACTCCGAAGTGAAATAATTTCTTTGAGTAAATAATATAGTTGGAAAACATCTATTTTGCCTAAAAAGTGCTGCTAGAATCCCACTGTCCCGTCAGTAAAATGATAATTCCACACATTCGCACGAAACCTTACCCGATGTTTTGAATTTTATACATATAACCCGAGATTTTTCGTAAAACCATGCTTAACTCGGGATTCTAGCAGCACTTTCCAAGTATTTTAGGAGGCAAACTTTCCATCTGTACAAATCTTATGTTTTGAAATATACAGCTTATTGTTGTTCTGCTGCATTATTTTTGTCACAAATGACAGAGGAAAGGCCGACCGGGATACGTATATAGCTGACTGTCTTCGAAGAGAATACAATCGATGAAAATAAATTAGCATACCTGTTTAAGTAACTGAACTCCATATGAATTTCACAAAATATTCAGGATATTTGCTTTTAAACTCCATTTTACGTATCTTTGTACATGCCGTCTTAGCCAAATTCTCTTTACACGACATGATCAATTCCCAAGTTACTTGAAGTACACATATGACGTCATCGGTGGTAGATTTTAATCAAAATGACAGATACAGCATAACAAAATAAAAACATTTTATTTTTGTTAATGTTTACACGTTTCTATTCATTTTCTAGAGTTAAATTACATCTCTAAATACGAAAACTTGTATTCTAAAATTGACGTCATCTCGCCTACTATGACGTCATAATGTAGCACTGATTAAGTCAAGGTAGAATATTTTGTATGCTTCCTTATTACCCCTGCGTTGCATTATAGCATGCCTCATATTTTTCAATAAAATGTGTTTCCTGTAATAATATTACATCGGCATTTATGTCAGATAACCAGGTATATAGTTTAGTTCTTTTCTCTGTAGAGTTTAAACCTCTACAGTTTAATGAATATACATTTAAAACGTTCATGCAAATGTTTGATTAACTTTCTGATTGAATGTGAAGAAATTCTTCAGTACATGTATATAGTTATCTTGACACACTACCTGCCTTGCCACGACGTGAAGGCTGGTTGCGTTGGGGCATGGCACGCTCTCGCTTTGATCTGGCGATGCTTGTTAAAATTCGCCCCATAACGTTTTTACCAGGCCAAGAAGTGACTGAAGAGTTGGTGGTGCCACGTTTGTCAAGTCCCGATCCCCAGTAATCGTCAAAGGCAGCTTCTACAAACAAAGCTGATTCACTGGATTTGAAGACGCTTTCTTTAAATTCGAGCACTTGGTCGAATTTGGCCTCCAGGATCTCCTTCATGACATCGTCACGCTGTAGCAGCCAATCATCGGATGTAGTAATCTTGGCTCCGATGCGTTTAGCCTCTAAAGCGGAGGTTGCGTTGCGCACTGCGGAGGCATTTACAACGTCACCAGATCGCATAGCCTTACTATACTGGAAGGCATGCTCGGCAGAGTCATGTGATATTCCAAAGATGTTGATGTTACATGGATAAAAGTTTGAAAGAATATCCTCCTTTCCACTGAAAGCGATGATATCTTTCTCGCCATTATCATAACTTGAGCATTTTGGGTCTCCTGGAGTGTGACCGGGTTGTTTACAGATTTTGCAACAGGTCTCATACTCACAGTTGAACCGAAGGTGATCTTCGCCCCAACAGTTTGTGCATCTCAAAGATTGCTTCTTTATTGGTTGTCCCCGATGTGAGATGGTGCATCTCAACCCGGCGCATTCACTGTTTTTTGGTAGGAATTTGCCATTAGGCATTGGTTTCATGTACAAAAAGCGGTTTCCATTTAATATTTCTGTCATTTTAAGGGTGGTAGGGTTGCGAATTTTTTCATATTTAATATCAGACGTGAGCTCAGCACCAAGCTTTTCGAGCATGTTGATTACACACGAATCCTCCACAGAAAGAGGAACTCCCCTGACCGTGACCCTTACAACCTCTTCCTCTGGTTTCTCTGTACCCGCAGAGAAAGGGTTAGTATCAAACACGGAGATACTTATATTGTTGAGGGTGAATCCGTTTGAAACTAGAAGATTTCGGCTCTCTGTAGACCCGACATATATGCGCCAGAGATCTCGATCTCTTTGAACGCAGGTGATATCAGATGCCACTGTGTTTACAGCACAGGCGAGAGCATAGTCTGAAATCGGTTCTTTTTTGTTTGTTTGTATGTCTCTATTTCGTAGGTAGACTGGTTTAAGTAATCTTTTATCTGCCATTTTTTATTGACTGTAGAGCACACAATGACAATAGGAATTAAATCTCCGTACAGTGAGTGAGTAGATACTCACACCCAGTGTTAACAAAGCATTCACAGTATTCACTAAATATCTACATCCAAAAACATTGAAATATCACTGTATCATATATCCTAAGAATAAATATCACTATATTTGAGAAGAATCCAAGAGTGACTGAAATTTTCACAGAAATTCCAGAAAAATGTCAAAAGAACACAGAGGGTAGAAAAACACGTCTTTACTCCTCTGAGTCACGTGACTCCATTCTTGAGAGGATTTTTGAAATATGAATTATGGAGGTAACAAAATCTTAATTATCTCCCCTTGAAAGAGAGCATTTACCCTTCATTTGATAAAAACTTGAACCCCCTTCACCCACGGATGCTTTGTGGCAAGTTTAGTTAAAACTGGCCCAGTAGTTCTGGAGGTGAAAATGTAAAACGTTTAAGACTTTGGCTAAAACCTCTTCAGTGATTTTAACATGCATGAATTATTTGATATTTTAGAATTCAAGGAGCAAACAAAGATACTGTAACCATTTATGTAATGTGCACACATTCAGATATTGTAACAGGGAAGGAGAAAAGGCGACCGACCACATCAGGATTCGAACCCAGGCCCCCTGAATCTAAAAGTCAGTTGCTCTACCAATTAAGTTATCACCGACCACCAGCAATCAGACCTGCCTGACCACCTCATTAATTCCTCCATCCTTAAAGGTGTTTGCCTTCAAAGACATCAATCCAGGTTCTTTCCTGGCAGGGCTTTCACATGTCCCTCCCAGAGCATGGCACTGAACTGAAAGTAACAGGGAAGGAGAAAAATGCAACAGACCAGACCAGGATTTGAACCTAGGCCCCCTGAATCACTAGTCAGGTGGTCTACTAACTAAGCTATCTAGCCAATGGCGATTGAACCTGCCTGACCGCCACAATATGTATGGAATCAACTATGATCGTCCAAAGCCATTCAAAATAATTATGAAAGTGAAATAAGGCACTTCATTTCCTGCATTCAGAATCTTCAAATTGTAACTTTAATTATACAAATGTAATGTCACTAAGGTATAAAGGCAGAGGATTATTCAATACCCTATCTTAAAGTAAAGCTGTGGAATTCAGGGATAACTATCTCATTCCTGAGAGTATGTTGTAGAGTTTTCTTCTATCAGATACCCATTAAAAAAATCCTACTGTATTGGATTGGGTCATGGATATCGGACTGTGTAGCTCAGTCGGAAGAGCACTGATGCAGGGGTCCCAGGTTCAATTCCCAGTCCAGCAATACATTTTCTCCTTTCCTGTTACAGATTTGGTGCCATTGACCATCCCTGGACTTGCAGGTGAAAGTCCTCCCAGGGGCAAATAAGAACTTGGGTTTTGAAGACAATTTATTAGGGAGGAATGTAATGGTTTGGGCCGTGGATATCAGCCTGGGTAGCTCAGTCGGTAGAGCACCCGACTAGTGAGTCCCGGGTCCCGGGTTCGATTCCCGGTCCAGCCATACATTTTCTCCTTTCCTGTTACTCTACAAACAAGAAAGGGGAATTCATGCTATGAACATAGAAACACTGTTCACTGAATTGAAAAAAAAAAAATCATGACAGAGTTTTGTGTCTTGGTATAGCCAACTTGTTGAAATGTGAACATAGAAGGCATTTAAAAGAATTCCACTGATCACTCTACCTTTGGTAACCATGGCAGCACCGATAATGGAAATAAATAACTAATACACACAAAATAATGTATCACAGTGTCTTCTACTCTGGATCAGGTTCAAAAACTATAAGACGAGTACATGTACTTCTGAAGAATTGTTAATTGTTGTCTGTGACAAGTAGCGCTAAAAATGACAAAAAGTCCTTTAGCTTCCTTTTATAAATTTAATTCAATGAACCAGATTGTTTAACAAAAACAGAACAATAATATTGTGATTAATATTTGACATGAAATGTAGATACTATTGCTTGTAAAACAAGCTTACAATGGAATCATATCAACTGTATACATCTGTAAATAAAGTCTCACCTCCTGTGAGCAAATAAAGCACAATAAATCCTCTACCAGTAGGAAATGAATGTTTATAATATCACAGATTTTGTAAATCATTCAGATGTCATCTACATCAACATTAAAGCCCTTCATTAACTTTGTCAGTGTGTCAAGACACCAACATGAACGAGTTGATTTTACACATTTTAACGAGACAGAAATTACATTTAATCTCGGCTATTGCACAAGTCTATCAGCACAATTTGAAAAAAAAAACAAATGCCTAGTTACAGTTAACAATGTCTGACACATGGACAAAAACTATTCTGTACATAACATAGTATTATTTCCAGTTGGATGGCACAATTTGAGCACTTTTTTCCAAAGTAACATAAAATGGACAAAATGTTTACAAAATAAATGTATCACACAAACTGCTGGGATTGTTGTCTCTCTGTACATTGTGGCTGAATGATCTAACGAAGACATTCATCGATGAGGAAATCGAGAGAGTGGTCATGGGAGGCTTTGGGAATGTTCCCCCACAGCAAAATTTCATCTCCTGCAATAGTATCATAACAGGGTGATCTCGCTTGAAGTATTCACTTAAAATTTTACTTATTTTACTTTTTAATTTCTACAATTTTTTGCAATTTCATAATACAGAGATCTGATATGGAGAGTTATATACATAGCTAAAACTTAGTAGCTGTATGTGTAAAATATTAGAGGGCTATTTCTGAAAAGAGAGGAAGACCAAAAGAGACCTGGAAAAGATCAGTGGAAAAAGAAATGAAAGAGAACATCTGGACATGGGGACAAGTCCAGAGATGGACCAGCATGGACGTCTCTGCTGACGGCCTTATGTGCTGACCAGCACAAAGAGGACTAAGTAGGTAAGTATTTCTGATACTAATTTTTTTTTAAGTATTAGCACAGTGAGTACAATTCTTATTTTTTATTTATTTATAATTTTCTTTTTTGATGATGATCATCAACTTGAGAATTCCAATTCCATTGGGACAAAAATCCTGAAAATTATACGCCAAAATTTCTCTGCAACTTTATAATTTTTATCTTTGAATACAAATTATTATGCTTCTTGTCAGTTTGTCTCTATATAATCAATACCCAATTATTTTTGCAAAGTATATAAAGGTTTTATAAAGTGTAAGCAAACACATTACATTGAGGAATATATTTTTAAATATTTACATTTCCAACTATTTTCTTGATAACTCTTAGAAAGTTAGGTGTGTTGATTTCTTGATAATTACAACTGAATGTAAATGGTCTAGTGTGCCTAATATGCATGTCAATCTCTCACAGCTGTCTTTGTGTCGGACATCAGTGGGCAGGAACTATGGAAATTAACATGGTATGTCTCGTGTATTTTAAAACTATCAAACAGCATTTTTTATTTATATTTACTCTTTTATTTCACATATAAATATAAGAAATCACTGTTTAATTTGTTGGGTGGGCCTGAGACATCAACGATAGTTGGAAATGTGGGATAATTTATCACACACTATGCTGAAATACTGTAAAAGCAGAGATATTCGTTGGGGATTAAATTTCTTTTATTTCGTTTCTAACAGTTATCAACAAAATTAAATCCCACTCGAAATTTTTATATGACTATTTATTACATTTTCAACAGTGAAATACTGTGATTTATTTATTGAATAAAAGTGATATTCTCTTACAGTGTGAAAGAATACCAAAATGATATTCTCTCACAGTGTGAAAGGATATCAAATTAAGTAAAAAATAATTTCTGCCCTATCATAAGATAAAGATAGTAACTAAACATCTTGATAGAGCTAAAACTGCAATTTTCTTCCCAAATATGTTGCTAAAATCCATGCTATGTAATGTTTTCAATCTCACAACTGCTAAGCTATGACTTCTCAACCGCTCAACTATGACGTCAAGCCTAGCTATGACACTGTGTTAAGAAAAGACAGAGGCAAAGGGAAAATCAAAGAAAATGTAATAAACAGAAAATTCAATGTTTTGTAGATGAATATGGAATTTATTTCACTCGTGAGACAGGATTTTTGATATTTTCACTCGTGCTTCGCACTCGTGAAAATATCAAAAAATCCTGTCCCACTCGTGAAATAAATTCCATATTCATCTACAAAACATTGAATATCCTCTATATATTGAATAGGGTTACTTTCGAAACAACGAAATTAAATGCCCAAGAAACCTTTTTAGAGGACAAATCAACGAAATTTTATCCTCACGAAAATTTGTGCTTATACAGTAGTAGTCAGGGTTTGACACACAGTGTACTCCCCTCCAACTTGTGAAACATGTGTCAAACCCTGACTATTTTTTGGCATAGTGCATTTATAGAATAACACTGTTATATAAATATGAAAATTTTAATCTGCTATATGTGCACTGCAGAAATAAATTGTAGTTTATTTGTTTATCTGACCAGCATACCTTTCTTTTCAAATCTCTCATATGGTGATATCTTGTCTGTGTAAAACATCCACAGGTGGCCATTATTACAGGACTGTAAACAGGTTTTACAGGGCAGTCTCACATTATAACCAACCACATTGCCACTGTAAACAAAAATAAAAATATTTGTTTTAATCTCAAACAAAGCTCCTGTATTTCACTGCACTTGTCCAGGTGATACTCAACCCCCCCCCCCCCCCCCCCCCCCCACACACACAAATGAGTTCTGATCAGAACCTTTTATTTTCCGGTGTTCTGCAAATTATAATACCCGAAGAGTTTGTAGTACCTCTGCTGAGATTTAGTGAGACTACAGCGATATTACCGATTACGTAGTGTCTACTAATAGACTATCAATTTTACAAAACATAAAATTGAAAAAAATGAAGATAACATAATGTGATAAATCTGATAATTGCTTAAACTCAGCTGAGATTTCGCTTTGCTTAATATTTGGATTGACTCTTTCACCAAATGTATCAGTCCAAATATCAAGACAAGCTTAATCTCCCCCCAAATTAATCAATCATATACACAAAATGAATCATGAACTGGGAAAAAAATGCAGACCCCTGGCCGTAATCTCTGTGAGATCCGTAGAGACTAAAAAATTTGGTCTGGTGTCTCTACAGATCTCAGACCAGTGTCACATAATCTCATTCGGGGTTTTGTGCCCGGACTTCGACAGCTTGTTTTGATTAATACAGGCTGAAATGAATTAGCTGTCTGCTTCAACTTTTTGCTCTGGACATCCTTTTAATTCCCTATCCAGGGCTTGACATTAACGCTTGTCCACATGTCTGGTACCAGTGAAAAAAAATTATGGACAAGTGAATATTGCTGGGCACTTGTCCGATTGGACAAGTGCATTTTAATGTAAAGGAGTCTCTAAATAATAAAAAGAACGACTGTTGAAAGTTAATCGGTAGTTTCAAGACAGAAGCTGTACATAAAAACCGGACTTCGATTCACATTCAATCGGGATCAAAGTTCACTAATTGCATACTACTGAAAAGGCATAGAACTTACGAACTTTACAAAGTTTGGATTCTGTTTGATGTTGACAGGTTCACTTGTTGTCAGATAAAATTTCGTTTTATGTGTTTGTTGTATTTATCAATAACATCACGAATAAATCAAGCACATGTCATGTGTAATGGACTTTATTTTAGTTTTCATTTTTCAATTTGACAGTTTTAGATCTTTATTGAAAAATTTTCGGATAAGTGAAGTTGAAGTTCGGACAAGTAAATGTCTTGGTCACTTGTTCGAATGGACAAGTAGGAAAAAAGTTAATGTCGAGCCCTGCTATCACCATAAAACTTTCGTTTCTTACCTCAGAAAGGTTTAAATCCATCAAAATATAAAGTTGTTGATTTTTCATACCAATAAGCTATTCGTTTAAACCTCAGATGCTGAAGAGTTCCAGCAATAGTCTGCTTCAAATACTTCGTACTATGGTTCATTTCTATAGGAAATAGTAGTAGGTCGAAGTATTTGAAGCAGACTATTGCTGGAACTCTTGGCATCGGAGGTTTAAACTAATAGTTTATTGCTATGAAAAATCAACAACTTTACATTTTGATGGATTTAAACCTTTCAGAAGTAAGAAACGAAAGTTTTATGGTGATAAGGAATTAAAAGGATGTCCAAAGCAAAAAGTTGAAGTGGACAGCTAATTCATTTCAGTCCATATTAATCGAAACAAGCGGTCGAAGTCCGGGCACAAAACCCTGAATAGATTAAATGACACTGGTCTGAGATCCGTAGAGACACCAAACCAAAATTTTTACTCTCTATGGATCTCTCTGAGATTACCCTGGCCATGGAATCACCAGTGGTGGGAGATGTAAAACCTGTTGGATTTCCAAGCCTTACCATTGAGTGCAGGCCACATTCTCCAGCTGACAGTTACAGGTGTCTGTCTCAAACCTTTCACCTGTCAAGGCAACACAGCTGTAAACAAATAGAGTAAATGAAAAATACGCATTTATAGCAGGAGATTCCTCCAAGTTTTGAATTTAATCATATATCAATGAATATTAATGAATTGAATTAGACAAGTTTTCAGCAACAATTACTGATGTAATTAAAAAGGGTCTTTTTCAATCTTTGGCTAAACACTCTAACTCCACTCTAACTCCTGTGTGAAAAATATCATTCAAACCTTTTCTCAGGACAGTCTGTTGAAAATAACCTTGTATCCGAGTCAGCCACTAAAACCGATTCCATTGCTCGGCGGCAGACGGTATTTTCACAGATTTTGCAGTCCAAAAAGAAAACCTCTTTAGACTGGAATTGAGGATGTATAGGAGACTTGTCAGACATTTTTGTAGGTTCAGTTCTACACAAAATATGGATACTCTACTATAAAACGATGCTCCCTCTTTGGTATCTGAATGGCGTCTGACAGCTACATGTGGTTTCTATATTTACACTTGTCACGATGTCTATGATTGGCTTAAAATTAAAAACAATTTCCTGATCCGATATCTGATTGGTCACTTGGAACTTGTAGTTAAGCGAGTACTTTGCTAGCACTGGTTCTCTGCCCTTGATTCCAGTCGCTGCCGCTAGGAATTGGTTTTTCAGGGCGCTTGCGCCCGTTAACCAATGTCAGGGTACCAGTCTAGTACTTTGCTAGTGAAATCTCGTGATGTCTCGTCTTCGATTACGAGATGTGCAGATCCGATATGCAATACACAGACAGAGGAAGATGCAGACCGATTCGTGAACAGCGGTTTTAGTATTTTCGGGAATATTGTTTGAGTTTCACACAATGTCTTCGGAAAAGAAACCAAAGAAAGAAAAGGAAATTCTCTTGGAATTTGAAAATCAGGCTAGAGGTAAGTTATGAATTTTACGCATTGTTGACAAACAGGATAAATGCCAATTTATCTCGAGTCTGGGTCGACCTGTTGGGGGGTCCTTCTCCGTTATCTGGTGTCCGGTAGCCTTTCAGGAGTTTCCGTCAGGAGCACTCACCGGATGGGTCGACAGCTGGCGGTTTTTAAATCACTTCCGCAAATAAACACTTGTAGCCTATATAAATATTGTGACCTTAATTTACCCATTGTTGAATGTGACAAATCAGGCGTGACGATCAGTGTCGTAATATGATGTATTCTGGTCTGTCATTTGAAGCGCTGATTAGTCTATCATGAAATATGCTGACCCCCCCCCCCCCCAATTTGAAAAAAAAGAGAAAAGAAATATATGTTATCAATCTATGATTAATGAAAGGATTGTTATGCATGTCTAAGATAATTCATCAATTAATAAATAAGCTCTAATATAAAATAATTCCCCGTCATAGACTAGTGTTTTGAATTTAAATCAGATAGATCTTGTGTAATTGAGATGTCTCAGTGTGATTGGTAATTTCTCCTATAAACATGATTTAACTACTTAGTTGATACTCAGATCAATAGTACTTGACACAAGGAAGTTTCAAATCTTCTAAGTACTGTATTTATTTTTTTTATTATTATTAAATACATAGGGTGTGTTTTATGACCATATAAAGTTTCAAGTAATGAAATCGTATTTCTTTTTTAGGTAGACTAAGGGTTTGGTTTAAACTGGGTAGCACCTTAACATAAATGATTTTGTTACAGATTTACACTGATCAACAAAATTTTAATTATGTTCATTTAATTTCCTTTAATTTTTATTTTCTTTCCCAAATTCCTGGTGAAGTAGAACACTTCCTAGAAAATGTGCAATATATTATATATTATATATTACTTCCATTTTATATAATGAAGACCTTTTGTAAAACCAAGCCTCTGATTATTGGAGGAAGCAAGTGTGTTGTAGATTGACTTAAAATTTGATGGCTCATCTTTGACAGCTAATCACAGTCAGTTTTTAAGTACAATATGATCGTAGATATCTATGATGGAAACTGACAGTTTGACAAGAAGGAAGAAAATTCAATACACAAGAGAGGAAAACTTAATACACTACAGAGCCTGATACACAAGAGGAATTTCAAATGACTGATACACAAGATTTTTATTTTTGAAAGTTCATGGAAGGCCACTCATATGTTTGACTTACATTTCACCTTGGTGTTCATTTCACAAAAGAATTCTGATATTGGATAATTTAAGTATAAACTTCCCTAAAGATGTAACCATTAATTTTATAGTACATGATAGATGACCTATAGATGGATGGGTTACATTGCAATGTCAACCTCGACTTATCAGTGTCATACAGTGTGGAGTATTTATGATGTAGATATCAATTTTAAAAAGTTTTTTATCCCAAAATTTTAAATATCATAACGTCAATGTTAATGAAGTTTCAGTGAGGAAAAAGAAAAATAGAAATAATTGGGAAATGGACATCAATCTTTTAAGATTTTGCTGAATTCTAAGAAGGTTGGATTGACTTCATAAATTGGCAGACTGATTGCCTATTGGAAAGTGGTGCACATATAGAAATAGAATGTTGTTTTATCTGCATAATCTTAATTTTAATGAGTATGATATGAGGAGAAGTTGAATACATAGACTATACACAGTTCATAATATGGTAGCAATTTGGTTCAGATTTCACATTCTAATATGCTGTACTTGAAAAATTCTGTTTCAGTGGTAAACACTTTCTACGTTCTGTGTTCTTATTTAACATGAGATCCATATTACCGGGTAATTGGCCCGTTTGATGCATTCTTTTGTGCGCTATTTAAATGAGTCTTTGTAATTCTGCATTTTATCAGATAAATTTTGATTACACATAATTTTGAAAATAGATGTATACAAATTTTGAATAATGTAGTACATACAGTTTATATACCGGTAAATGTAGAATATAGTGTCATTTCTGACAAAGAGAAAGATGTTTCATCTTTCTGTTTAGGGCTGTCTGCTGACAGGGCAGAATCAAACATGTGTTTGCAAACTTTGGAAAGGTTGGTAGTATTTGATGAGTGTTGTTTTATTCGGGCACTAACGATCAGCAGGGTTAAGTGCTTGTACAGCTTAGAAATAGTTACCAGACACTTATACAGAATCACAAACTCAAATAGGGAGATCTGGATTGTTTCAACATTCAAATATTCACATACGCTTTAACTACACCAGGAGTGGAGATCTCGGGATTTCCCCCATTTTATTTTTCAAAAAATTGTGATTTTAAAATTGAGATGCTCAGTTTGACATGTAAACTAACAAGCATACTACTAAACAAGAAATAAAATGAAGAACTGTCTGGCAAACAACTTAGGAGCTGACACATTTGTATTGTTGACTAAATGACAAATAATGAATTATAAAACACCTCTGTATATTTTACTAACTGGCAAACAAATATTGACCTAGGTTACACCTTTGTATATATTGACTGACTTGCACACCTTTTTTTATTATATTTATTTCTACATGTATCTCTTCCTCATGCATGGATTTATCTGAGACAGTACATTAACTTGATTGTATAATCTGTTCTGGGAAAAAGAATTAATTTTTAGCTGCAGTGCTCTACTGTTGTTTGTAATTTGTGACGGAAGAGATTGTCTTCCAAACTCTAACATATTGCAAGAAGTAACGGGAAATGGAGAGCATGCTTGATCCTGACCAAAGGTCTCTGCCATTCTGCTGTGCCTGCCCCGAACATTTACTCTGAGGAAAACATTTATTTATTTATGACACAAGCATTTACTTTAAGGAAAACCTATATTATGACACCAACATTTTACATGTAGAGATAATGTATGTTAGGTAGAAATAGGACTGTAGCTATGGGGTTGATTTGTACGGATTCCTGGATGATGCAGGGGTTCTGGGACTCCTCTAGCACCTTTACTAGGGTTTATTTTTAGGAAGGGGAGGGGTATAACTCTCTAATAGTCTGGTTACAACCTGCTCCTTTGGTGGAGTAATTTCTTCATTAGTATGATTGTCAGTGGTGTTGATAGTTATTCCTGCTGAGCATTATCTTTGACTAAATTAGTGAATGTTGCTTGGTAGATGCAGGTGTTTGCTTTGTTTTCAGAAGATGAATGATGCATTTTTACAAATCAAATTTTGCTCAGACTTGAGTTTACATGTTTTAGGTTTCTAAAACTTTAATATTAAATCAGTATCTTCCCTAAGAACCAGTTATTTTGGCCAAATTGACCATTTCAGTTAATAAAAATGCTGCTTAGAAATAAAAAATTTACAGAGTTTGTAAGGTCCACAGAGATTTTGTTCATAAACCTGGATCAACCCGTAGCCTGTTACAATTGATCTCCAACCCTTTACTTTGAAATAAAGGGGAAACACTGAATCATATATATCAGAAATATAGAGGGACTTAACTCTGTAAAGTTGTAATTAGCTTATATCACACCATTAGCATTAAACTGTTTACTAGCTCTGGCAATAATTCTGTAGTAAAAGAAATTTTACAGTTTAGAGTCTTAAGAGCCCTCTATACACTGCACACTAAAGAGTTCTGATTTTGTGGTATTTTTATGCAGAAAGAGTGATCTGCCCTTTGATCAAGAAGAAAATAAACTGCAATGTACAGTTTATTACTTAATTTTTATTAAATTAAGCATTCGTAACACTTCAATAGGCCAAGAGGAATAGATAGAACATTTCATTTGCAGGTATTTTGTCCACTTAAGTAAACAACAGTGATTTCTGTTCATCAGTACTTCATTGTCTTTGAACATTTTTCCTGGGGGTAAATGCAAGGCACACAATGTTGAAAATGTGATAGATAATCTCAATGTTTATACCTTTACATACTATAATTTTTTCAATGTCCAAAAAATATTTTCCTCTAGTGTATAGAGGGTCCTTATTTGCATGGCTTGGTGAAATGCACATACTGTTCTGCGATATATTGACATGGAGCCCTAAGCAAGAACAAGCCTGTGCGTCTTCCTACCTCACAGCAGTGTTCAGTGTTATTCAAGTAAATTGAGATCTTTTTAGCTAATTGGAAAATAATCAGAAAGCTTTATATTATTTTCCTCTTTGTTCCCCTGAGTGCCTTTCTTTTCCCTGTACATTGTAGTTTTTTTTATGCCCAGAGCCACAAGGTAGTATATAATCCCTTGCTGGGTTTTGACCTTCTGTTTGTAAAGCAATGGGTATGTGCATCACCAGCCTCATTTTGATGTGATGCAAAAAATTAATGTATGTGTATTGTCTTATGTGTCTTAGTGTTGGGAATGAGATTTGATGAAAAAGTAACGTGGAGTCTGATTCATGTTTCTTAATTACCGGCATCAGTTGCTGCGTGTTCATGTTTCTAGAGCTTAATACCTTAAAGTCATTGGATCTGTCTGTCTTTCAGACATGCACTTACTTTTAATCTTTTCCACATATTTCTGCTGACTAATGTTGCAATTTGATTATTAAAAAGTATTCCTTACTATCATTTTCTTATTACAATTGTCAAAGAGAAATCTTTAGGTTTATTAGGTATGCTTTTTCCTTATAACCAAATCTTTTACTGCATATTATATCAATTATGCCTGATGGAAGTAGAATAATATATATATGAGAATTTTCTACCTTCCATTTGGTTGATAATGAATCACTCTGGTAACTTCCTGATCGTTAAGATACGTATATTCGTAGCTGTTTTGTTTTTGAGTCTCATGTTTTATGCTGGGACCCACTCCCCTGATTTTCCACCTCGGAGAATTCCGTCTGTGTATGTTTTGTACATCTGTCACCGCGTGATGTATCTCCATGGTATTGGCAGATTATTCTGCAACATTAAACTACATCAATACAAATATTAATCAGTGTTGGGG